AATTACTGTCGAAAACCTTAAATGGAACATACCAACACTTTTCGTGATTTATATTCAATTGGACATTCAGGCAATTATTAAAACCACTTTGCTAAAAAATGGTAAAACATATTGAAAAGGTGATTTTGAATGGCTTTTTGGACATTTTAACTGTATAATAACTTATATTGGAGATATTGGCAAATAAATCTAATGTAATGCCAAATTTTAATTTTAAAAAGGCCATATTTATGATATTTTTCATAAAAAAAAAAAATAAAAAGTATCACGATTTTGCGTGTCTACCTTACGCAAGGATTTTTAATTGCGCAAGAATGACACGTAAAATCGTAAAGCGTTCAAAATTATTTTTTTTTAATAAAATATTATATTTATTAATATATTTATATATATAAATATTTATTTTTATTTTTTATATATTATGTTTTGTATATATTATTATTTTTTTATTTATATATTATATTTATATTTATTAGCCTTTTGAACCCTAAAGTTTAGTATTACATTACATTTAAACTGTAGTTTGCCAAGAAAAAGTATATTTAAATTTTACCAACTGCTTTACCAAATAGTTTTCAAAACTGTTTTACATTATTTTAAGGCTATTCCTCGTTGTTTATATCATTCCTATGATATGTCTTTTAAAGGTTAAACAATAAAGTTTCTCACCTTTTTATTATATATGTAATAAAAAAAATATATAAATGTAATCTATCAAGTTTTGGAAATGATCCTATTTTAGGCTGCATATCTAATTTTTATCGAATAGATATTTACATCCATGAAAAACATCATATTGCATTATTTTTTCGAGCGCGAATATTGCAAAATATTATAAGTTCATTATCACCATCACAAAATGAATAATCCTTATTGGCGATGGATTTTCCCTTGATTGGTTGGATCAAAATATTGGTACAAAACTATTTAGAGATTATTTAATAATTTTATTAAAAAAATGTACTTTTCTTAACATTGATATTTCATTGTAAACGTATTAAATTGAGTCTAGCTACTAAGAAAATGTTTAAATACATTTTGTGGGAAAAGAATGTTTGTTTATATTCTCAAGAAAATATTTCCTTCCTCCCCTCGACACTAAATAGAAAAAGTACATATAATGGTTGTAACGCATTACACCATTCCCCACAATGTACAACTTTTACACACGTGAATTACTTTGTAGCATGCAACCTAGAGCATTATGAACTGCAGCAGCTTGTAGGTGAAGTTTGATATTGATATGTTTTCTAAAGTGTTTTCCAAATCGCAAAGTGAATTCCGTTATAGGACATGGTTAAATGTTTTAAATACTGTGCATAATAAATTGGTGTTTATTTCGTAATAAATTGTTACGTCTTTGGCAAATACATCTATTAAGTTTTTGTTAATGCAGGATACAAATTTCACATCATATAGCAGTAATTACGAAGATTTAAATTACTGTTATTAATGGAATAGTTTTGATTATTAGTTTAGTTACAATTATAATTAATTTGTAACTTATATATTATTTACTGCGTTTAAAATGTTATTATCATGGAAGAATTTACAGGATTTTCATTATTAATATGACCACCACATTTATTGAACTTTTTGTTTATATTCATGGAATTATGTTAGAATGAATACCATTTAGAGTTAATATGTCTTCTATAAATATTAAGACTATTTATTTATTTAGCTGTTTTTGACAGTCAAAAACAAGCTAATATATTGAACTTTTCTAGATTGTGGTCTTTATGTTTAGTATTGAGATCTGCTTATTAGTCGAAAAACGTTAACGAAGAAATTAAATGCATGCATCTGGTTATTCTGTGAAACAATAAAATTTTTAACAATCGTACAATAAATATTGATTAGCCTATAGTTAATTTGTTTTTAACATCTGTATAAAACTGTATAGTTTGACTACTTCGATACGTATCCCAGCTGACAATATTATTTTATGCAGATAGTTTTGATTTAGAATAGTCAACATTGTAAACATAAATATCGTAACCATACCTATCATTTAAACAATATTCTAAAAATACAATTTCCTATTCATCTGTGTACTATGAAAAGAGAAGTTCTTCAATTTGAAAAAAATATCTAACGTTTCAGAAGTGATTGTCACACCCTTCGTGTTCCTAAACATCAGATTAAACTTTAATTCTTTTTTTATACAATCTGTTCCACGTGCTGCATCTTGTACAAGTAACAAACTTGTTCGTTAGTTTTCTTGCCTCACTTTATAGACAGTTAATGTGTGGGTGAAAAAGTAAGTATATCATTTTGGAAGTTTATAACATGCTTATTTTGGGGCAATTAAATGGGACAAAATGTATAGCAAAGTATACATTTGTTCAGTTATTCTATGTATAAAACTTATTTGATTCACATAGAAAACAATAGTCACTTATACCAATAATCGTTATTGTAAAGCCAGGTGGTTAAATTTCCCAACCATACAAGTAATACATGGGTGCTTTATCTTTATATTTTCTTAAGTCCACACCATTTTTGACTAATATAGCTTGACATTTACAATTACAACCCAGTTTCGATGTTTATTTCTATTCTTAGTACCTCAAACATTGAAATTATTCAACGTTACCAATCAAAATTGCTACGTATTTTCGTCAACGCACCTTGGTTTGGTACTAACATAATGTTAGAATTCGAACAGTCAAAGAATAAATTACAAAATCTAATGAAAGATACATTATTAAATTGGGAAACCATCCAAATCATCTTGCACTAAATTTATTGGACAATCACTATGATTCGGATGAGTGTTATCAAAATTCTCTTTGTTAGCTAGTGTTGACAGTGGTCAATTCAGTTAAATTTTTATCAGTTACAAGTTTAATACTTTATATTACTTACTTAATATATTAAAAAATATAACTTTTACGTAGGACTATCCTTTTCACCCAGAAAATGTATTTCCTTATTACAGATCAGCTGTTTTGTTTTGAATGTGTAACTTAATTCCGACGCGCGATGAAACGGATTTTGGTACTTACATAAAAAAAAAACACTTTATTCTAAAAACAAACTTGTAATTAAGGAACTGTTTATACAATAAACTTTTTGTTCCTACAATGTTTTCAAACAATTTTGAAATATTACAAGACAAATTTCCTAACTTGTGGTTACGGATTCTTGTTAGCTTTTGTGGACAAATTTCAGATAATGTAAACAGGAGATATCAGCATGTTTACGGGTTCAGTCATTGTACAAAGGCTTCCATGTTCAATCAACTGTCCACAAATAGTCTGCCCTTTGTACCTGTAAATTTAAAACAAACACTCCAAGGGTAGGAATAGGCAATCGCATGTCCATGCTTTAGCTCGTTGCAAAAGAACAAGTTCAAAACGCAATAACGTATACAATTGTTTAATTCTTAGTAATATATTTTTTTATACTTACCATGTCGATAGATGTGAACAGACTACTTATTTGTAGCTCCATGATTTATGACCAAAGCTGCAGTTAGTGAATCAAACAGAAAAAGATTAATAACCTGATTGTTTAAGTCACAGCGACACATTCATATATTATAGGTAAATATTTGTTTTATCTTGTTAATTTACCATGAAAAATATCCAGCAAAATATAAAATACCAGAGCCAAATATTTTGAAGAAAGTTTGAGATATGTAAAGACAATTATAAATACCAACAAGAATGATAGTGTGTTTATACTGTAAATAAACTTATCTATCCTTCATTTTGTCCTGAATGTTTCCCCACAATACTCAAGTTGCTTATAGTTAACTAACCTCATAATAATCCAACATAATTAAGAGAGAACATTAAGGAACGTATGTGATATTTTAAATTTCGATAAATCATGGATAAATCTTTTAGGTATTTGTTTAATCAACTGAATGTTGAATGGATATGTTTTATAGTTATTTGTACCCTACATCACATTGTAGATTACATAACTTTTAACAAAGATATAAACAAAAATTCTTTATCTTAACTACCATTTCTGAACATAAAAACATACGTGCTTTCCTGCTAATGCTCAAGCTAGTTTATGCTCAACCTTTTATTATGTTTATGGATTCGCTGGAGTTCAGCGAGGAAATCTAATATTTATAACGTTGGCTTACTATATCCTCATTCTTGGCGAACATTATAGGTCATGTTCTGAGCTAGAAGCAGTAAGACATGCATTTAAAATTTTCCAGTACATCATAAATCAATTTTAACGTGCACGTTTTTGCTGTATGTCGTTTTATATGTCTACTATTCAGCTTAATTAGATTTCTGTTTTATTTGCAATAAAAATACTTATTTAAATAAATAACATAATTAACTAGTAACGATACGAATGGCTTGATTTTACCCGTTTTGTAATTGTAACCGTAATTAGTGTTTTGAAAACTTGCATTTTGTTACATCCTATGAACAGCAATCATTGTTTTTACTATCCATCTTCCTTCGTTGCCAATCAAAATTCATATCTAGATATACATCAAGATCATTAATAACTTATCCAGTTAACCAATCAGCAATTGTATGTCTAGCTCAGTGCACAGTTTGATTAAGCCATTAGTTGAAAATGAAAAGGTTGAAATGCAGGTTTTCAAAGTTAGACAAGTTTTTGATAGCAAATACCAAATGTAGTTTGAAAGACGGTTTCAAACTATCTGTGTTAGTTTTTTTTAAAGCCATGCTTTTTATTCATATAGTCACAATATTAATTGACTTATACTAAATTTAAATAGAGCATAATTAAAAACGTTTATGTTTACGTAAACAAAATTCTAAAAAAAAACCACATCTAACCGATGGATTAGTAAAATACTACCAGCTTTTGTATTAATGCGTCAACAAAAGTAGTGTCAATTCAAAAACGTGACACAATTATTGAGAGCTTGCCGCATGTCCGGGACACGACAGCCTCACAGCGTCGAGACGCGCCTGCGTCACAAGTTCCGCTACCTGCCACACGAGCGCTAGAGGTGCTGTAGTTCCAAGACCGGCCACGCCAGCGCTAGTGTCGCGCTCGGGCCAACACTCGGTCAGTCATGTGAACGACACCGTAGCGAGAGGTTGTGTCTATCGTGCTGCGGCGACATACTCGTATGTGTACCATGTGTAGTTGTGTGCTCTCGGTGGTGCTTGTGTGTTTAACCAGGATATTATGTGCGTCTGCGGGTTGGACAGGCCAGGACGATCTGTTGTCCCATACGAGATATGTCATAGCGCCAGAACACCTACTCCCTTATCAAAATCAAGGTATTGTATTTCAATGCAAATGGACGTATACAAATAAATCTTATGACAATTGGAATGAGAAAGATTCACGACCACTAATGTTTTATTTATCATGTACGAATATGTTTCTGTATCAGTACATTTTACTCTATATATAAACTTAAATTGGGCTGTTATGTATCACAAGTAGTAAAAGGACAATACCAAACTAAGTATATCTATATAGGTATATATCGTCATGGGGAAAAAGGTACATGTTAGTAAGTGATGAATTTTTTCATTACTGTTTATTGCTCATAAAACCATGTTTTTAATTTTTAAATGTAATTAATTCATTTAAATAAAACTCATACATGGACAAGCCATGAAACATAATTGAAGAAAAACTATTTACGTTATTATTTACTCACCCAATCGTTTATAAAAATGAATCAGTTAGCTAACGTGTATCAATAAGTAGTGAAGTTTTTCACTGACACTGAGTTTTTAATTATTTATGTATTTTGAAACCGAAACATATAACATTCCCAAAGTTGAGAACAAAATAAACGGGCAAATATTCAATAGAAACATGATTAAAACAAAATTCAGAGCGTTTACAGAGCAATATATAATATGATAAAACAAATTTATTTCATAAAGCATGGAATTGTTAAAAAACGTATACAAGAAAATATATGTAAACAAAGTGGTCCCAATGTAAACGTCATACGCTTGGTTTGTTTACTTCGGATCAATACACCATTAGATGTTTATAGTGTTTCGTTAATTCGTTGAAGGGCGTATTATATTATAAGACTTGGTTATGAACCATGCAAATTATTGCAACTTGTTATACTATCCGGACTTCTGTGCTTGTTGTTGCAGATGTACATTATGATAAATGCTATTGCATTGTGCTGTTTGAAGGATGATAACACCTCTTAAGTCACATAAACGTTTTTTTTTTCTTGAGGATCGTACTATTTTTCCCTTTGTATTTCCAAACGCAGTAGAAAATTTGGTTTCAACTACAAGTGTGTTTTTCTCAAAAGGTCTTATAATTGTATCCCAGTACATAGGATTGTGGAAGAACAAAATGTGGATATATTCAGAACCCTATACGAATGACACATAATACGTTTCAAGTTTAATCCTAGTCACATCCTGTGAACCTAGTTGATTCTGGCCCGTGACAAATTTCCAGCTTCAAAGAGCTGTGATTTCAAAATTCTGTTTTTACCAGTGACACAACGTCCATAATGAAAGCGTTGTCGGATTTATTTTCGTTCTGGGCGAGTTCCATCGACACGTCCCGCTGTTTCGGCGCCTAAATTTAAAATATCAGTAAACCGATTGAGAACCACTGTCTGATCAACTTACTCTGTTTGAAATTGACCACAGTAGTTTTTTATTGTAAAATTATGTTATCTATTGACCTGTTATGGCTTTGCCAAGAAAATATGAAGAAATTCATCGTAAGCTGCTAATTGGAAAAGAGTAAAATAATAAAAGCACTAAAGAAACAATCCACGAAACAACAATACAACATAATTAATTATCAGCTGTGAGCCAATTGAAAAAGGGAAATTGAAAAGGTGTCGGATTTATTGTCGTTTGAACTTATCAAAAAGAGTGGAATGCTGACATTGACATGAGGTATCCATGATCAAGAATCGAGTGATGTGGAAATTGTTGTAAAATTGTTCATAAAATCGCGAAAATAACCAATTTTAATTAGGTAGAGTTACATTGAGTTGATTCAACATTGGGACTAAATGCTCTAACATATTCCCATTCCTAAGGCTATGCAGTATACTTAACGATGCCAAAATATTGCTAACCGAACCAGAGATTTAAATGTAAAATGTGTGTAATCTGTACAGTATGAAAGTTAACTGGCCAAATAGAAGCTTTAGTATATATTTTACTAATAGCACGCGGATGTTGTACCATCATCCAAAAGTTTTTTTTTTTTTATTTAGACTTTGTTATTAGATCGTTGGTGTCAATAACCACATGCGCTCAGCCATATGTGTTGAACCAAATGTCATCAAACATGAAAGATGTTTTGCATCTGGTATCGTTAGAACCATACATTTTGCACTAGGCCTATACTTAAATAGTAACATTTATTGATGTATACAAATATTATACTTATTCCCTACTACCCTTGATGTATTTCTGATTTTTTAGTGTGCAAAGTAATAAAAACTTAAACTAATTATTGGTGTATATTTAACATTAACGTTTTTTACGAAAAGATTCTTTAAAAAATGCATATAATAAAAAGTTTAAAAAAACATTATAGTGACTCTCTAGTATATTTTTCATTACTTTTAACATTACTCATTGTAATGAGCTTGTTAATCGGCTTAACGCTATTAACACGAGCCCAATTTAGTTAACTTATAGTCTCCCAAGCGCTGCTCAGCAGAACGTTTGCTACTAATTTGCAGATTTTCCATGCAGCGTTGGGAAGTCTATTTATGTCAAATCCAAACAGAAAGCTCATAGGTGCAACTTAACCTTAGCAACTTATGAAAGTTGGTAATTAAGCGTTTTGACGTAAGATTTGAAAAGCTTTTCAACTTGTATAAGCCAATTAACAGGAACTTTGCTAATTAAGACTTGAAATCGGAAGAGTTCTTTGAATGCCTAATTTTGTTTATGAGCAGGCAGAAAATTTTTTATGTTTTTACTTTGATGTTAAAACTGCCCATTACTTTTCTAGGAATCCAGGGAATTCTTTGCTAAGTTTAAAGTTGAATTATTGATATTAATATTTTCACAGGGTTTGTGAATAAAGGAACGTTTCCATTATAAGGAGTACCGACGTTGTTGGAATTTCGTTACGTTTTTGCAACTTTTTTTTATTTTATGTTGTTCAGATAGAAATAGTTTTATTAGCTATCATCCAATAAATTATGTGATAACAATACACTAAACGGAATAGTTAATTAAAATATTAGTAGGTATAATAATGTTGAAGGTATAGTGTGATTATATTTGAGTATGAGATTATATTTGAGTAATACGTTCAACTTGACGTTCGTTTACTCTATTAAATTAATAATTTATCTAGGTGTGTGTGTTTAAAACTTCATTAGGAATGAAAACATAAATCTCAATTTCTGCTTAAACAAGATTGGTACTACATACACTTACTCATTCCATTTTAATGTAGGGTAACATTTTCATCGTGTTAAACAAAAGCGAGTTCTTGGTCGTAGAACCCTCCCGCATTGTTCATTTATACATTAACTGGTGAAATTTGGTATTCCTAAAATTTTGGAAATCCACACAATAAGACAAGACTGGAAATTTCTCAAAAAAATATTGAGAAGTTGTGATAAAAAAAAATGTTACTAACTAATATTACGCCGCTTCCTCGTCGTCCTCTTATCTTTTTACCATCACCGACTTCACAGCTATTTAACACAACTTTTCCACTAAACACACACAAAGAAGCTCCAGCTGGATTTTTCTCGCTTCACAGTTTTTATTGTTTGAAGTGTAAGTTCACTGGAGGCTGCGGAAACGCCTATTAACGCAGCGGGAGTCGATTGTTCACCGATTCGATGGATCGATTCTTTTCTGTTCGATAGATGGGGGATATCTAATTACTGTTTCACGGTTGGTATCTCCACCCCTAGTGTGGGGATTGTATGACAGGCATCGTTGAAATGTGACTAGGTCGTCAACTTTGTAGGCTTCGAGGAGTTCAGTCACCAGCTGTTATTTTTTGCTTTACAATTTTACTTGGCACAACTATTTATTTATTTCAACAGGTACACCATTTACGCGTTTAGACGTTTTGTTTACAGGGTAGGGTTTTTTTCAAATAGGCCACACTTCATATTAAAAGGTTCTTTTAGAATTATTCCTTGCCTTATAAAATATGAGAATACCAGGAAAAAACCCGTAACTGTCTTGACCATTAATTATATTTAAAACCATAGAACAGCAGCATTATTATATAGCTAAATTAAGTGAGTAATCGGCTGGTTTTTAACTCCTAGACCGAAAAGACTGAAGTCTCTGCTACTGCACTAGCCCACTTTTCATATTATCATAGTAGGGTACGTTTTGTGTTCTCAATTATCAAAAGTACAGCATAGGCCTATTGAAATACTATAACATTTACTCATACATATACTTTTTCACGTATACTTACATAAATTATGAACAACAATTCATATACAAAGCAAATTTGAAGTCCAAGAATTTATAAAACATTATATTATCTCGTACCAAACTACTTTTACTTTAAGTGAATTAATTAAAATGCACTAATTAATTTCTATGCATATGAAACAATCTTTAAATGTTATATTTAACTAACAAATTACACAAATCCGCATTCTATACGACTTTTGCCACACATGTTTGGTACTAATGGGACAGCTGGATTATCGTGTAACCAGATTACAGGGGCAGCGTCGAACAAACATTTGAGTTTGTCGAGGGAATAATCCAACAAACATGTAAACAATATATAAAACTGTTTGCCCAACCGGGCCGGCGGCTATCCGGTTAACAAACGGCCGTGAATCAATGTAATATTTTCAACCCTGAAATAAAGAAGTAATATTCTGTTGTATCAGGGTGTTTGATTTATCTGGACGTTAACACGGGCTTGGCAGTAATCCTAATTTATACGTTTTCATTCTACACGAATTACCGGTTTTTATTTTTTTTATTGAGTAGTTTGTAGTGTGTTAGGAGTTGTGTATATTTAAATTCGCCTCATATAGTAAAGATTTTATGATAATGTTTAATGGCAATGTTAGTAAGTAATAGTAAGGTGAATCAAGATTTTTTTGAAAATCTTCCATTAGCATTTTATAAAGGACATAAATAATATATTTCTTTATATGTGTTTTAAGTATTATTTGTGGGTTATTGTATTACACCGTATTCGCCTAATTATTGAGGTACTAGTGTCCCTGTTGCTCGAATTCGAGCAATTGCTGAGTATTACAGGCGTTATTTTAAAATGAATAACAGGCATAATTTCTTATGACTTTAAAAGATTCGAC